GTACTATTTTTAGGTCAATGATATCTCAGTAAAGCTGTTAAAAAAAAAAGAAAGCTGTATTTGACATTATAAATAACATTAAGGTTTTTCAAATAGTCATGTAGTGCCTTCAATGCATGCTGAGGCCTTGAACCCTGAATAAATTTACAAAATGTATTCAAACTTAATACAGACTTAAAAGGGAGCGAGAGTGCAACATTTTATTGGTTGAAGTTTGCAGAAGAAAATTGCATTCAGTCAATTCTGTATTCCATGTCATAAACAAGATATAGATATGAGAGTCATGTATTTTAGAAGAATTAGCAGCAAATGTAAGGTGCTTTCTTTGTGCTGTTACAAATTAGATTTTTTTTCCCTTGAGAAGCCAGACAGAACAATTGAATACTCTAAAAGAGAGAATTGCTGAACACCAAGGCCATGTTTTTGAAAACTAAGTTTAGGAAGAATAGAGACATATGCTTGGCATTCAGAATCTATTAGCAGTGAAACCTTGTTATGCCATTCAGAATTGAGGACCCAGAGTCAAGGTTTGTTTACCACGTATTCACTGCTTTTAGTAGGCTTGGCCTTGGACATCTATAAAATATTCAATTTTTGCAAAATCTAATTTTCTAACAGAGATAAAAATCTTCATTTCTTAAGTTGACAAAATAAGAATTAATTTTATTCTTAAAATAGACATAAGATACTTAGCTAAGTTTGTTGCTAACTGGGAATGAGTTCAAGACTAGATTGACATTGACCAGTTAGTTTTCTACAGTGAAAAAATATCGTACTTGTAATCTCATGTGCTCGTAATCTCAGTTCAAGCAAGAAATTGGAAGTTTGCGTGAATGTAAAACATTGCTATTTGTTGAGAGTGGGTACGAAAAAGAGGGCAGTAGTGAATATAATATACAACATATAATATAATATATACAATATGCATGTAAGAATATCAAATACAATATAATTTTAGATAATGTTAAACAATTTTAAAAAATAGTCAGAACTGTTATCAATATTATTAAGTATATCTGTCCAAATAAACGGAGTTTTATTTGTGATCAAGAAATATTTCAGCTCTTTTAAGAAGAGCTGAAATATTTATTTATTCTGGAATTCTTATATCAAAACATTACTTGGTTGCTAATTTGTATTGATGTTTCTGCAATTTAATAAAATTCTTTTGAATTTTGATTTTTTGCTCTGGATGTTCAAATAAAGACATGTATAAAAAATTATCTGAAAAAAAATTTCCATTGCAAAAATATGTGACTTAAGAATAATAATTGCATTTTTAAATATAATATATAATAGCAAATGAAAACTAAAATCTGTTGATCTTTAGTGAGTCAGAATTCCACATTATTTTTTAGTGTAGAGTCTTTCTGTGGGTGAACAATACAGTTTTATAATCCAGAGTAATGTTTGCTGAAAATAAGTAATTTTCCAAAGAATTTGGTCTTGTTTTATTTATTTCCAACACAAAAGAGTCATGTTTTGTACTTTTTATTTTAAGAACTGTGGTGTCAGGAAAATGAGATACTAAAAATACTTGTTGAGGCTAGAGAAAGGCAACAGCAGCCACATAAACTCTTTGTAATATAAAACAAAAGACAATAATAACAACTTAATAACAACTTTTTACTTTTCTAATGCACTTGGCTTTTTACGCAGTTGTAACTGGAATAGTTAGTTTAAAAAAACTCTTCCTAAATAAGCTCTACTTAGAAATTTAGAGAGACAGACAGACAGAAGGAAAGAGAGGTTGTATGTGTGTAAATATAATGAAAGTGGCAAGGGCATAATTCAAATCCAGGAAATGACATAAACATGAAGTACTGTACATTAATTATTCCATCTACTGCAGATTACCCCTTTATTTCAGCATTACTTACCCTAAGTATACTAATAGCACAGAGATAAGAGAAATGCTGGGGCACCTTAGTAATTTCAGATGAGCTATTTAATTTTACAACGTTAAGAAAAGTCTGTTCATTTCAGGATACCAAAATAATGTATGTTTATTATTCAAATGTAATTCATAATGTGGATAAAAAAATATAGCCAAATAACGAAGGATCTAAAATAATATTCATACTTGTTTGCTTTGATGCCTTACATATTTTTCTTTATATTTTTTTAGCTGCTTTTGTATAATTTGAAAAAAAATTTCCTAGTGCAGCAATTTATCCTTCTTTCTGTTATTGGTGTTTTAAATAATTTGAATGGTATAATTGAAAGAATGATTCTTGCTCTAAAATTCTCCAACTAAGAACTGTAGACTCATACTCTCTCCATAGTATAAATCTCTTGAAGCAGAATTGCTGGATGAAAGGCTATGTGTGTTTTGATTGATAGATAGTTAAACTGTCCTCTAAAGAGGATTACTTAATTTTGTATTCCTACAGCAGATCCTTTGAATTTTGATTTTGAGCTCTGTATGTTTAAAGATTGTGACTAATAAAATAATGATTGCATTCACAAGTCCTTATAAATATACACTGACAAATGGAAGTATCTGTGTCCTTACACCATGCTACATACTACCACCAAGCTTATAAGCTTTGCTCATGAAATAGGTATACAATACCATTTCTTTCATTCTAAGTAAAATTTAAAATCAATTCAAATGCCTAGTCTGCAAATTTTGTACGTACTTTGCTCATTTATAAGTGAAAACATTTTGAGAAAAACATTTTGAAATCTTAGTAAGGGCTTTCTGAACAAGAGAATTTTCAAATGTATAAACTGGAAATTTTAAAATATATTGCCATGATGATAGAAATATTTCAGAGCTTGACCCCGGTACATAAAAGAATAATTCAAAATCAGTTTATTGGTGTCTGATACTTAGTTGTTAAGCTATCAGATATAACTAAGAAAAAATTAACAGGCTTAAAAACAAATAAAACTTTAGGGGCCGGCCCGGTGGCGCACTGCTACAGTGCGCCGCTTGGGAAGTGCGGTGGCACTCCCGCCGAAGGTTCGGATCCCACATACAGACCGGCCGCTCACTGGCTGAGCGAGGTGCGGGAGCAACACTGAGGGTTGCGATCCCGTGGCCGGTCCTGGTCCAGTACGGGTGCGACACTGAGGGTTGCAATCCGTTGCCGGTCACGAAAAAAGACAAAAAGGAAAAAAAAAAAAAAACAAATAAAACTTTATTAAAAATAATTAGATGTCAGTTGTTGCTTAATTTGAATTAAAGAGTCAAGGAAATTAAAGAGATAGAATAGATTGGGGATTAATGAAGTCTGTGTGGATCATAGGTAAACATCATTATTTGTTCAGTAGAATTTTACCGTAAAAGTCATGAATATTTAAAAAAAAAGTACAATGTCCCACTTTTTTTGTGATGTTTTGTATATTAATATAAATATTCATGAATAGTGAGTATCAGTTCAGGTTATTTGTGTGAATATAAATTTTCATATAACTGGCCACTTAGAGCTCATTGGATCATGCTTTCGAATATGAATTCTCTAGTATCTCAGATGCAAAATGGATCTGACCCAGCTCATGAATATTCACACACACGCAACTGATCTTTCTGAAAGTAATCACATCCATAAAGATGAAAATCTTGTTAGTTTTCAATAACAGAACTGCATTATGATGCTGGTCCCAGACCAGTTTCACTTGTTTTTGTTGTTTTCCTTTTTTGTAAATGATACGAACTTTAAAATATAAACCCACATGCTGTGCATCTTTCTTGAAAGAAGCTCTTTTTTCTTTTACCTCTAAAAAAAGCGTGTGCATGACTTAACCGTAATTGCATTTGTTTGCTTTATTTTCTGTGGTCATAGAAAAGAATAGAAGAATGTTAAGCAGTACTCCCATCTGCAGTCCTTATCCTAAGCACCTTTTCACTATTTAGATTTGGTCAGAGATTCTCAACTGCATGGTGGTTCAATCTGCTAATCTGCAGGAGGCATGATATATATTTTACATATAAAGACAAAGAAAAAAAAGACATGAGTTTATCTATATCTTTTTGTGTAAAAGGAAGATTATATTCTGAGCCAGTTAAAATTTTAATATGTGAAACTTAGGATGCTATAATCATGGAGGCCCATAATTATAAATTTTATACTATTTTAACCCATGTTATAGTCTACATTATAATTACTTCTCTTTCATTGTAATGAATGATGTATGTTTGTATCCAAGATCAGTAGTTATAAATAGGTGCCAAAATTTAAATAAAAAAAAAAAAGGTGTCAGAATCAATCGCCTGGCACTTATTAACACCATGCTCTAATTATTAATTGAAATAACCAGGAAAAAAAAAAGGAAAAACTATTATTCATAAAGGTAGTGCTAAAGTATCAGCTAGTTCCTATTTCTAACACTGATATTGTTAACCCTCTGAATTCACTTTTCCTTTATCAAAAGGTATATACTTTTTGTTGTTGTATAAACACAGTTAATAAATTATGCTTCATAACAAATACCTTTTTTTTTAAACATTGGTAACATACCAATTTATGTTAGTATGCCATGGAGAATTATTCATAGTTGAGGGTGTGATCTTTAAGCTGTGTCCTAAGGTACCCTGTAGGTATCCTCAGAACTGCCTCTGAGAATAAGGAAGGATACCAGCCAATCTTCCTTCTGTTTTACATGTCACAGTGGTTCTCAACGAGGAACGATTTTGCCCCACAGTGGTATCTAACAAAGTCTGGAAACATTTTTGCTGGCCACAACTGAGGGGATGATACTGGTATCTAGAGGGTAGAGGCCAGAAATGCTGCTAAACATTTTGTAAAGCACAGGACAACCCTGCAACAAAGAATTGCCCAGCTCAAAATGTTGATAGGGCCACCATCAGGTAAAATTTTGTTTGAAGAAATAATTTCTTGTCTAAAACTGTTTGATAATCTCTGGATTAGAATACTTTTATAGATAGATCAATGAAAATTTGTAATATTATTTTGCAAATAAGTGAAAACAGGTCCAATATTTAATTATACATTTGAATTAATTGATTTTTTCCTTTCCTTTTTTTTTTTAAGCAACAATTGTGTTAAACGAACTAAACTGGACAAGTGCCTTAGACGAAGTTTTCAAAAAAAATCGGGAGGAAGACCCTTCATTGTTGTGGCAGGTGTTTGGCAGTGCCACCGGCCTTGCCCGATATTATCCAGGTAAGTGCTTAGCAGTTGAATAATTATCAGAGAAAATTGTAAGTGCCAGCTTCAGTGTTCCTTGAGAACACTCTATTACCTACCTTCTCCATTGTAAGAAGATGATGCTTATATCACACTACTTTTATAAGGAAAGAATATTCCTCTTTACATGGCTCTATATTGACCAAAATCACTTTAAACTGAAATACCTAAGAAGTAACTGGAGCAGTTGGTGCCTTGAATCAGGCCAGGCTGCAGTGAGACCATGATCAGGAATAACGCGTTAGCTATGTACCTTAGGGTATGTACCTGGAACAGGAGGTTACCGTGAATTCTAAAACAATTCTGAGATAAAGATCCACCTGCTCAGCACGGATCAAGCTGTGAGTCACATTAGAAATTGAATAGAATTTTTAGAAACTAAATGAAATATTTTTCTCCAGATTTCAAGTGTGTGCTTGAAATTTATAACAAAGGTGTTAATGCTTTTTTAAAATCGCTGAACGTGGATTTGGTAAAAGGAGTATGACAGGAAATAAAATGAAATCATAAGGAAAACAGAGCTCTCTATGTGTCAGGTTGGATTAATTCTGAGGGCATTTCAGTGATCATGTATATTTAGTGAAGATGAATATATTTTATAAATTAAAATGAAAAAGCCCCTTTGTAATGTTCTTTATTCTTATAAATGAAAGTAAAGAGAAAAAAATAGTAACTTCGATAACAAAAATGAAAAAATAATCACAAGTACATGCTGAGAACATACTGAAAACACTTTAAGTGAAATGTCTGTTGGTATTTTAACTTCTCCGCCTTTTACACCAAGCTGACAAACACAAAATGCATTTTCTTTCTAAAAGGCATGACCTGAGTTATGGGATATACACTAGGTAATTTGGATTTAAATGGCCACAGTATGACTTTAAACAGAAGAATTTTTCTTGAGACTTGGGTTTTCTAAACATATTTAACATATAGAATTATTCCCAATAAAAAGCCACAGCAGTGAAAAGGGGTAAAATAGAAATTAGATAAAATCTAGCTTTGGATTGCAATAGCAATAAATAAAAGTATCTGAGCATCATCAGACTGAACGGTATTCAAATTTGGTAAAGACCATATAACTTCTGCATGGTTTCAAATGCCAGGTGGTAAGATCGGTAAGAATTATTTTTTGCAGAAATTCAAGGCACTAGGAAAGACCAAGTTTATATTAAATATTGAAAAAAATCATGAGTTATAATAAAATATTAATGTTAATATCTGATGTGGGAAAATAGTATCACATAGGTTATCATAGTGGAACTTTCCCCTTATGGAAATACTGTTCATTATAATACTACCCTTTGAAAAATACTGTAACATGACTTACTTTATTAGCACATTAAATATTATGTATCAGGAGATTGAAAAGTTTTCAATAATATAAAGGAAAAAAGCAACACTACTCATGCCCATAATAAACCTGGTATAATAAACCTTAAAATTATACCAGGTCTTAAAAACATAAGTACAATTTTGAAATATAGGAGACACCTTAATATCCTGCCCAATAATACACAAATATAAGAATACATTGATCAATACCTATAGCGTAATGTAGCTTTAAATCTTATAAATATATTACCTTAGTATAAAATCTTATGTATGAGCAGTTGAGAGAAAGGATAAGTTGGAGAAAATTAGGATAATACTGAGAACTCAAGAGCCCTGTACCAGAGAGAAACTGATGATGCATAGAAAGAAGGGTTCCAACAGAGAAGCTGGAAGAGAAGAGGAAGGGAAGAGTGCATAGCAAAAGGGAGAGAGAACTTGGGGGTCAAGAAGTGGAGGAAATGATAAGTTATGTTATGAACTTTTCAAAGATGGCTCATTTTACAAATAGCAGTTACCTTTTAAGCTTACTAATAAATCATCTATAATTCTTTCATTTTAAATGCTGATCGAAGGATGATGGGTTCAAATTTTTTTAATCTTAACCATATATTTTTTATGTGTGTTCACATTCATTCACTTCATCTTGACAAAGATCTTTTGATGTTTAATTTAGTTGAATTCATGTGGTCCTCCCAGACCATTAGCTGTGGAAGCAACCCTGTGGCCACCCACGATACCTCGTATTTAAGTTTAGCAGAAGGATTGACTCACTGAATGACTGTCAGGATGAATTCATTTACCTGTTAGAGGAGGTTGTTTAAAATAGCTTGCTTAACTGCTGCGTATTACACACTGCTGTGTCTTACACACTGCTGTGTCTTGATGCCACTTCAGTGTTAATGAATCTGTTGCTCAGTTGCTCTTTATGACAGTAATAATATAATGGAACCAAGTCTCTTTAGCAAAGGCATTAAGACAATGTTATAATTTGAAAAGTGGACCACTGTGTTTGTGTTTATCCTAAGATATGTTTTCAACACATTTAACACTTTTATCAAGTTTAAGACTCTTTAAAATGAAGTGATTCCTTTAAAAAAAAAATTCTGTAGACCACACTTCACTCTCTGATTTTACTATTTTGATACAAACCAAAATAATGTCTAGTGGCTCATCCCTATTTACTGTCTGTTAAGTCCAAGGTCAAAAATAGTCTCTAAATATTTTTAATTATCTTAACAATGAGTGGAAATAGAATATATGTTACTTTTGCTTAATTGGCTTTTCACATATGACACTTGTCCCTCAGGCTAGGATCTGCCTACTAGCCGTGAGAACCTGGGTAGGTCTCCTGAAACTTTCTGTGTCCTAGTCTCAAATCTGAAAAACAGGAACAATAATAACTCTTCAGTGTTTCCCTGGGGGTTATTGTCATCAACGAGATAATACGATGAAAAGTACTTTGAGGATATTAAACAGGCATTTCTGCAATTGTGTATATCAACTAGAATAATTTTACCTAAATCCAGCATTCTCTTATTCTGAGACATTAAAGAACATAATTGAGGTTACAATTAGTTGACAAGGAAGCTGAAATAGAAATGTGGATAGAGATCTAAACATGACCAAGCCGTAATATCGGTCAGTAACACCACATAGTTAGAGTTGTAGGTTTTAGCCAATGGCCTTAGGTCATTTTTCACATAAAGGATGCCCAGTTAAATTTAAATTTCAGATAAGCAATGAAGAACTTTTTACTATAAGTGTGCCTCATGTAATACTTGGGCCATACTTTTACTAAAATAGTATTTTTTTTAATCAAAATTCAAACTTAACTGGTTGTCCTGTATGTTTTTTCATTGTTGTTGTTGTTTGTTTTGGGGGGAGTTTGCAAAATCTGTCAACTCTGTCTCTCAGGCTCTCAGTTTCTTATATATGTAATATGGGAAAGTCAACTTCCACATTACTTCACAGAGTTATGAGGATAGAAAAGCAAAATCTATTTTATACATTCATCCAAATGAAAATTGTATAATTTATTTTTAATTCTGTAAGCTACCTATTTTTATTTATATTTTTTTAGAGTAAATTCTTGCTGTGGAGTTATTGTAAATAAAATGTTTTGCAGAAACTAGAATCCTCTAATTCACAATAGCATCTAAAAAATATTCTTGTGCATTGTTAAGATTTTACTTAGATCAGGAGGACCACATACTGTGAGGAGGTTAAGCAATTATATTCTTGAACCGATGGCCAGGGTGTAAATCTTACCTCCACCACTTGATGTGATGGTGACTTTTAGAAAACCCTCGGTGACCTCAGCTGTAAAACAAGGAGGATAATGGTTAACTTGTAGAATTGTGAAGAGAATAAAAAGCCATAAGTATATTTCTTACCATATTTCCCAGATGTTGGGGAAGGTCAGAGATGGCTAGCCACCCTCGTGATTTTCATTTATCAGATTATTTAAAATACAGGGAAACACTGGCTTCCGATAAAGAGGTCTTTAGAGCTAACTTAATGTAAAGGCACCTCTCCAGAGCTGATTCTGAAAACTAGTTTGGTAAATAGTGGGGATTTGAACTCTAATATCTGTTCTCGGGCTGAACATCAGTCTGCTTTCTTATTTGATTGCTGTGTGTGGAAGTAAGCTATGAAAATTATTGCTGTCTGTCCTTTCTCTTCTTCTTTTTTTCCTTCTTCTCCTTATACACTCCCTCCCTTCCATCTTTCTCCTCTCTAACTTGGAAGGTAGGTAGGCGGTGTGTTATAATAAAAGGAACATTAAACCGTAAGGAGTTCTTGATTAATATAAAAAATACCATCAGCATCATTTTGTGCTTTGGCTAAGTCATGTTCTATCTCTATGCCTATTTCTTCACCAGTAGCTTGGGATGATTGAACAAAATGATTTCCAAGGCAGGCACTAACTTTATTCACATATGCATCTAAACCTGTAGTGTTTGCTAAGTCCACACTATTGTTTTGCAGGATAAGTAGAATGACTTGCCTTAGTCATACAGCTAGCTCTTGGCGGAGATAAAGCTGGGACCCATGTCTAATGACATTCATTGAATATGTGCTTATTGGAAGATCAGTTTAATTTATGAATGCTTTTCTTTAGAAGCTCTTAGCTGATTTATATAAATTAACTTTAAAGCTATTAAAACTGCTTTCAATAGCTATCAACTTTGTGAATTCTTAATGCATCATAAAAACTGTAGGTACAAACTACTCATTTCATATATTAGTGTCTCCTGAAATTGTACCAATTACTACAGTAATTGGGATTGTAATTAGGAATCAGTGGCTCATTGAAATGCCAATGTAGGCAGCACTTATTCTTTTCAGTTAATTAGTTGCATTTACAAAAAGAAAAAAAAAACAAAACTCTACTTCATCTCCATATGACATTTACTTAATGTCATTTGTTCTTTCTGTACCCTACCTTATTTGTTCATTTTAAAATCATGCGATTACAATAAAGGGACCTAATATATGCTGAGTTAGTGTTAAACAGACCTCTGGGTGACATTTCCTTGTTGCTGTATCTGCTAGGATTTTACTGGAATAAAATGCAAAAGAACCTGTGTTATAAAGTATATGGAGTGACTTTTTTCCCATATGGCTAGTTAATTGCTGTT